TAATTTATCTCTTTATCGAACTTAGGCCTAAAATCAGTTAAAGTTTTATAAAGTATGGCCTATATAGAAGTGGATTTTCACATTTCGTTGTCTATGATTACAATTTGTTTGTATTGTGCTAGAAATGTTATATTTAAAGAAGTACAGTTACAATAAAGATACTAATTTGGCCAGAAATGTTTTGCGGGTCTCTGCTAGTATAGTTTATTATGATTTACTCTACCTGCAGCTAGGACATTACATTCATTGCAGCAAGCTTGCACATTTGAATATAATTTATAAGTGCAGAGTGATTTAGTTACATTTCATATAGTATTCTTAGCTTACTCATGTTAGTTTTATTCTAATACAAAATATTTTAGAATATTGAATTACTCCATTTCAGTTAGTTATGTTAGACTAGCATACTTGGTTTTTCTGAACACATTTCAACCTTATTCTAATTCTTATGTATTGCATACATATAGATAATGAACAGCTGGCTCGATCTGGTACAAACTGTCTTGAGAACTTGGTCATTTCTAATGGTATGAAGTTTGATGACCAAACGTGGGATAGGACTTGTTGTTGCATGTTGGAAATTTTTAAGGAGACCCTTCCTTACATGTGAGTGTAATCATTGAAGTCTGGACTCCCTTAAAGAGTTAACATCAAAAGATCAAACTTGATGAGTTTTGTTTTTGAGAATGCTAGTAAAAACTTTGTTGTACTGGCATTAGCTTCAGTAAAATGTGAAAAATTATTTTACTTAAATGTAATGTTGTTATGACACAAAAATCTATAAAGTTATGAATATTTTCTGTTGAGCTGTTAGCATAAGCATATTATGAGAATTCAGTTAACATTCAGGTTGCTTGTTTGAAACTCAGTTAAAAGTGCTTGACATTTTGACTTGAAAAAAGAAGACAGCTAGTTTCAATATGACAGAAGTATAAGTTTAAACTTTTTTACTGTACAAAAGAAGGATAACTGCTTTTATTATGTCTTCTGGCTGATAGGAGAATTCAACATGAAGAATTGATTGTATAATATTACAATGTTGTTTTACCCTTATGTGTCTAGGTTATTGACATGGAAACCAAATAGAAATGACAACCAAATAATCATAGCTGAAACTTCAGGCAAGGTAACTTGATTTATTGAAAACTTTGTTCATTAAATCAAAAAATAATGACATGAAATAATCCCAGCTGAAAAGTTTTGCAAAGATAAATGGATATGTTTAAATCTTTGCTCATTTTATCTCATTGAAGAAGAATTGTGTTTTTGTTTGGCATGTCTGTTAGAAGGTGAAATTGCTTGATCACCAAAATTTTCAATGAAATATCATATTTAGATATATTTCTTCCATGTATCTATAAAGTCATTAATTTGTAACTTTTTTTAAATTTCAACACTTAAATTTTACACGTTTTATATTAGACTCCATAAACTTATTAAAGTAGTGGTATTTTTTATTATTATCTACACTGATTTTTATAGACATAATGTGTAATTTCTACATTGTACTGTCTGAGATGTTATAAACATGAAACTGTTACACATACTTGTGTTAATCTCATGTGACACATGACTGTTGTAGTTTAAACATAAATAGCCAAAAGGATACTCAATAACTGTTTTACAGTTTACTGGTTATGAAAAGTAATTTTGATAAAACTTTTTTCTTTTGTTTCAATATATTAGACTATGATGATTGAGTGAACATTCATAAGTTTAAATATAACACTACTTTTTGACATTTCTCTAAATTTGTAACTCCCAGAAAATGGCTTAAGAATGAAACATTGAACAATGATTTTTTTTGGAAGCTTCTGAGTTTTGCATTTTTTTAAAATATACATAAAACTGTACTGATTTTCTTATTGCTTGAAAAGATTCTAGTCGATATTTGATTTACAATCAGAATTAGTTTCTGAATAAAATGCAAAAGATTGTATTTCAACAGCATATTGTTCATGTTATTATAGTGGAACAGAGGCAGGCAATAAATCTCATTCAGAATGACTTTTCATTTAAAAAAGTTTTTCTTGTGTGAAAAAGAAAAGATTTTTCATTTTGTGAAATTTTTGCAATTTTTAGATGTTTAGTACTTTTCTAAACTACAAGTTTCTGGTATGTTGGCCAAATCCTTCTACATGTATACTGTATGTTTTCAGTGAAATCAAATATTGTGTCTAAAAATTGCATACATTTTGTATTTCACAAACAGCAATATGAATTAAAATAATATGGCCATTTTCTACCCTCAGGGTCATTCACCAAGACATCTACCCCAACATGAGCAGAAGGATGCTATTGTGAAAGCAGGTTTGTGCTGTTTCATGTTAAAATTTACAAAGTACCTTTGTTAAAGCACCTAATTTTGTTTTAAGTTCCATTTTGTTTACATGTATTAACTCTTTAACCAGGGGTACCCCATTAAATACCTTTCTGTGCAAGTCACCATGCAACATTCAAAATTTTATAAAGCACGTTTACTATCAATTTATGTGAATTAAATTAACATTTTAATGTATGTTATCATTTGAAGTTTTATGTTAGCTACGTTTTCAGTCTTTTATTTCAAAAGAAACCTTTAAAAAACTGCTTAAAACTTCAGATATATTATCATGTGACCAATGAGCTATGAAAATTTTCTATTTTAGCACTCTGTATCTTCAAATACAATGACAGTTCTGTAGATTATGTCTAAAATATAAGATACTTACATAACCTTTTGACTTGTACATTTCAAAGTTCTCTGAATGATTACAGATGAAACAAGTAATAACAGGTGCCATGCTCACATTCCACAGATTTGTTTGAGCTATGTAGCGTACATGTAGATGTTACATACACATGTGTATAGTCATAAGAAAGAGCTCATCTTACACTACAAGTTTTCATTACAGAGTACATGTAACTAACTATAGTATTGTTGACTGCTTGATCAACTATAGCCCTTATAGTTGTTTCTTACCCAAATATGTTATTGTTAGAGATACAGTTTAACTTTCTAAACACAGGCTTGGTCGATTTTACCAACCACATGACCTCTTTGTACTTATATAGAGTCTTTATATAGATTAAACAAGAGCCATTACAAATTCATCCAAGCTAGTCATTATATTTCCCATGGGAATGAAGCTTGTACTAACAGTGAAATTGAGAATTCTACATTCAGGAAACAATGTTATATAATGCATCATTTGATAGATGAAAAACCTTGGATTTCTATTGGTTATAGATAATATAGAATTAAATGTAAGAGAGAGCTATTAACAAATCCTGAGAGGATGTGGCAAGAGGGTTCTGATTTTCTATTTGATAGCTCTGTAACCAAACAAAGTTGAAGACTATAAAAAATTATGGTTTGTCTGAGCAATGAAGATTTTATAATGAGTAATTTATGTTTAATTTCCTACTTATCGGAGAGGTGGTGGATAAAATAGAGAAGAGAAGATGTGTAGAGAAAACGTGTCACACTAGGAGAAATTCAGGAGTTTTTTAAACATTCCTTATAAAATTAATAACTTAAAACTTGTATTCCATTAAAATATGGATTATTAGCTAAGATTTGATGCTATACTAATTGGTATAATTTAAACAAAATATAGATTAATAAAATTTTGAATGTCACTAAAACCTCATGACATGTGCAGTAAGGGATGCCCTCAGGATAGGGTGAAATTTGGTTTAGGTCTTACTATTATATTTTAGTTAATTATGTATTCATTATGTTTTAAAATGCATAATTAAAAGGTTTCAACATCTTTTAAGATATACATCATACTTTGTGTCAGTTCTCAAGACAGTGCATGAGAATTTTGCTGAAGGGTTGCGCATGTCTGCTAAAGACACTGTATATGACTCAAGGGCACTGTTGACTTGTGTAGAGATGAATAATAAGTGGTAAAGGACAAGAATGGAAAATAAAACATTAAAAATTAACTATATGTGAAAAGGAACAGACCTGAAATTATGAATTTAATAATAGGAAAATATTCAAAGATATTCTACAAAAAATTAAAAAGTATGTATTTTTGTTTCTATTTCCTAATTTTAATTATTTCATTGCATTGTACATTGATCATAATAACTAGTTAGTGATATGGTAGAGAAAATGAAAAATATAATATAAACGTTTACCTGAAAAAACTTATAATATTCATTTAGGAGGTTCCAGAGGTTATGCAAATGAAATATAAAAACTGTAAAATGAAGAAAAGTATTTTTATACTTAAAATGACAATCATCTTGCACTCGAACTATTCACAGTTTGAGTGCAAATAACAACTATAGATAAATAGTATTTTTGTTAGAAGTAATTATACTAATGCCATTTTTTGTGTGAAAAAACTAACAAAATCTTATGAGGTTTTGTGAGGAACACTCAAAGTTATTGTATGTTTTTTGCATAATTGTCCTTCCTCAGTCAAACTGATGCGAATTGCATCAGCCCGTGCTGAAAGGGTTAAACTAAATATTAATAGAAAATAAAGAAAACTGATCCTAAATATTCTGTGCACATATAAGCATATGTTTCCTGACTGATGTCACTGGTGTGAAAATGTCTCTTTGGAAAATGTATATCATGTTTAGTCATGCTTATTCCTTATTATTAGATAAATCTTGTTTTCTCTAATTTTTCTTCTGCAAGTAACACTGTCAAGAGACAAGTGGTAATCTTTCCATTACAGACTGGTTAACATACCAGATTGAGGATACAAATGTCCAGATTTGTGTTCTATTCATGCAAAATTGTGCTCTACACTTTAGGCTATGAACACTTTATAAGAGTGATGTTGAAATTCCGCTATATCTTTAGATTAACTAGCCCAATAGTTAGTGGTGGGTGCTGTTGGTTAGCTGCCTTCACTTTAGTTTATCAGTTCAAAATTAGAGATAGTTGGTGCAGATAACCTTTGTGTAGCTTTACTTGAATATATAATACAAACAATCAATTGATCCTTCTAGATTGATTAATACTGGTTTTTTCTTCATCTGTTCAAAGAATTTTAAAACAGTCATTTACTTTCACTTCTTTACTTTCTACTCCATATTTCGGGGAAAAAGTTAAAATATTTTGAGATTTTATATAATCCAATTTATTGTTGAAATATTCTGTTATGTAAGGATTTCTGTTATAGTACTGGTGTACTCTTTGGTGTTTGATATAACTTCCAATATAATGTTAATTTTCCTTTTGTGTGATGACTTGAGTAATGTTGCTGAGGGATTCTATAATGGATTCCAGTGTATTGTTAGGAGAGTTTGTAATGTTTCATATAACTTCCAGTGAAGTTTCAAGTTTTCTGTTATATAATGACTTCCACCATATTGTTTATGCTTCAACATTATGATGTGTTGCTATTATTAATACAAGAAATGAATGTTGTTACAGATGCAGAGAGCAAGGAGGAAAAACTATTTTCGTCTCTGAAGATAAAGTGTATAGTGCAGTTAGAACTGATCCAGACTATTGACAACATTGTGTTTTATCCTTCCACAAGTAGGAAAGAAGACATGGAATATCTGGCAGCAGCCCAGGTAAAGGTACTCTAAGTTTTGAAAATATAGTATGGAAAATTACCCAGTCTCAGTTACTTTCAATTTATAGACCCAGCACAAAAAATTAAGTGGACTCACACCTTATACATTATGGAAAAGTAAACAGGTGCAGTATTCTTATTTTATAAACGTAGTATGTTAAAGTATCCAAGTTCAAGAAGTTATCAAAAAACAAATACGGAAGAAAATATTGAACATAACATCTCTGTAGCATAGAATATATTACACGATGTAGGGTGTCTGCCTGAAATTTTGCAAGAGAAATAAATGTATATGTTCAGTTATTTATTTATTTATCTGAATTATCCAGACTTGGTTATTTCTTTCAAACATGGTAAAGAAAAGTATGCTTGGTAGTTTATTGGCTTTACAAAAGTTATATAGAAGATGTCTGGTGAAATTCTAATTTCTTCCTATCAAAACTTTAATTATTATGTACACTGTTGTGTACTAGTCATATTTAAAATTTTGGGTCTTACAGAAATGTTCTGAGAAAGATTTTCACATAGTAATTCACCAGTTTTTTAGTGATGTTTTGCTCATACATTAAGTAAATCAAAAAGTTTATGACTTAGTGAATAATAATAAAAAAAATGTATCAAATGACCATGAAAAAAATTTAAGGCATTTTCCTCTTTATGCTCTAAGTTAACACTGTCCCTGTTCTCACTGTACTTATGTAATTCAACTCTGTCCACACGGGCGCAGTCAATTTGACCAACCATGTGACCTTTTCGTACTCGTACAGAGTCTTTTGATACTACTAACTTTTGATATAGTGTGTATATCTTCACAAAATTTGGCAGTCTTTCAGTAAACATTATAAGTCTTTCACATACAAAAAATCATATTTTTAATAAAATAAAAAAAGATTGTCCTTGAGTATTCATTTTGAATAGTCTGTGGCAAAGTGATTTTCATGTTAAGATTAAAAATTCTTTTCTTCATCTCAAAAAACTCAAATTTCATTTATGTAATCTCTAAAACCTCCTAAATACATTTGAAATGTTTGTTTACAATAAAACTTTATATTTTATTTGTTATTTTTCTACCCTAACTCTATACAAGATTGGTCAGTTTGACCAACCTCATAACCACCAAAAAAAAAATCTAAATAAATCTAAATTACCCTCCTTTTCTTTCTAGAATGACTTTAAATTGTAACATGAAACTACATTTGTTTATCCTAAGTGGCTTTAAACTCGTAACAGTATACATCTATTCGTACTTAAATTTTATTGTTTTATTGGCCTTTGGACCGTGGCTACTATTCATGCCATTATAAGTTGTAAATCTCTTGGGGAACGTGCAGCTCACGTTATGCTATCGAATTACATTACCCACAAGCTACTCTCAGCTGCTCGTGTGTGCGCCTCGTGAAATATTTTTATTATATTATTATCATTGTTTATTTTACCTAATCTGACCTTAACTAACCTAAAGAACTAATTTACTTACCCAAGTATTTTTTTTGCTCTTGACTCTCGATGACAGTTAATTCTACTTCTTTTAAGAAAATGATAGTAGTGCATTAAATGATTTTTATTTAACTAAATAATGCACTAAAGAACACAGACTAATAACATGCAAAAATCAAGCAATTTCTCCTAACTATCACAATTTTCTGACTTTCTAACTAAGTGACAAGAGCCATTACAAATGCATCCAAGCTAGCCGTTGTGATTCCCATGGGAACCAAAGTTGAATTAGAATTGGCTATAGGTAATATATAATTAAACGTAAGAGAAAATTATTAGCACATCCCAAAAGAGAGGATGTGATAGGAGGAGTTTGATTTTCTATTTGATAGCTATTTAACCAAACAAAATTGAAGGCTATAAAAATTATGATTTGTCTGAGCAATGACAATTTTATAGTGAGTAATTTATGTTTAATTTCGTAGTTTCTAAGATTTTATGGTTTACTAATTGGTATAACATAAATAAAAAGTAGATTAATAAAATTTTGAATGTAATACACTAAAACCTTGTGTCATGAGCAATAACGATACCCGGGGTGAGAGGTTTAAAACAGCCTCTGCAAAAATGATGATCTCATGTTTAAACCAACATTTGATAATGTCTAATTGCTAGTTCTTGCTCATACTAGCTATTTATATTAGTTCTGAGTGACTGTTATTTCAATCTGAAAATTAAATTTAACTCAACTTCAATTAATGTCCATAGTATCTTTATTGGGACTAATGGCTATTTTTTTAAATTTAATTGATAATTACTACTCAATAATACAGAATGTTTTAATGTTACTCTATTGAGGCAGATTTCCATTGAAACAGTTTTTTGGGTAACATTAATGGTATTTAATCTCACTTCTGTATTTGAAACCTGTTCTGTTTATTCACCTGATCTTTTGCTTCCACTTGTGGTAACCAGATTTTGCTAACATTCTTACTTATATTACTACACATATTTTTGTTAAATGGATATGAAAAGCATATTTGATTTGTACTTTTATTTATTATTACACCTCTTCATCAGCACAGGTGATAGCAAACTTGCTATCAAAGAGACTGTGTAATTTGTGAGTAGTTATTTTAGTAAAATGTTTATACAAAATTAAAAACTAAAACCTGATAATTATCCTATTGTTCAATTATCAGCCATGTTACATACCTTATTCTAGGTTTTTTAAGAGATATATTTAAGAGTCTGTGCCAGTATTTTAAGCTCTTTCTTCTTCTGAACAACTACTTTGTAAATGATGGGAAACTCAAGTCAAGTTCTTTCTACAGGCAGACATTGGCCATGCCACAGACAGCAATCAACTGTCTGAGAGTCAGCAGCATGAAGAACAGGGTATGTACCCTTACCTGAAGTCTCCTCAACTTCTGAAGATGGTGGAATGTTTACAGGAATCACATCGGTTTGCAAAAGCATTTAACACCAATCATGAACAAAGAAACCTCTTATGGAAAGCTGGTAAGATTTATTAGCTATTAGCTTAGGAATTTAAACATTTGTGTTGTTTAATTTATTCAGAAAATTCTTATCACCAAGCACAGTAGTGCTCAGTATGTAGCGATTGGCTTAGAAAAAAAATGGTCACTGCATTCAATCTATTACTCATCTTTTTCCTTTTCCCTATGCTAGCCAAAAATTAGTGAAGTTTTTGCAGAAAAGCATTTTAAGAGTACTTGGGAACAGGCTATCACTGAACACTATAGTCCTTAGTATGTATGTATGGGCCGAGAGAATAATGGCCACTGCATTCAATCTATTACTCTATGATGCTTACAAGTAACTGCTATAGTTGAGTTATAGTATTATTTAAGCACCTAATTGCTTTTATCAAGTGTTTCACAGCTTGTATAACAGTAGTATTATTTTGTTCTTCTACCACACACATTTTTGTGGAGAAATAATAAAAGGGAAAACCACTACTTAATGTGAGTTTGGCTTACATTAACAATATATATTACCATTGAATTATAAAAATAAAATAAATGTTCACTTATTAACCTACTTCAATGAAATTATTTCAAAAAAGAGGAGAAACAAGAAATATAAAAACTTTTGCAAAAATTAAGTATGATGTAGGAATGGGAAACCCAAAAATTACAGAAACATGATTATTAAAAATTGTTAATGCAAAAAGGGGAATAGGGATCATAAAAATAATACAGAAACAAAATAGCTAGCTTAAAATGAAAATGCAATCATGGTAAAAGTAAACAAACAAGATTAAAGTTTGAGACACAAAGCTGGAGATACTGTAGACATTATTTACTCAAGCTAGAAATCCCTATTTTGACTCCATGCTATTAGCTAGAATTACATTTGGTGGATTCAAAATAAGGATTTCCTCTTAGAGTAACATTTTGCACACTCTACAAGGTCAAAAACGTGTTAATTAACAATTATGAATTGATTATATTAATATACCTTCCCCCTTCCCACTGTTTCTGATGGAGCTTAGGTCATGATACTTCTATGACCCTAAACTCTGGTGGGCTGTCGCTACTGCAAACTTTATCTGAAACTAATTATTTTCTAAATAAAATATATAGCTACAAAATTTCTGCCTCACTTTCACCATCATTTTCTCCATTTCCTGCTTGCATGATTTTTGCCACTCCTTATAGTCATCTTCAAGAATGGCTACTCTATCTGCAGTATCTATTAAATTCGTAATCAAGCAGTGTGGGCTATGATTCAACACTTAGGATTGGTAATCACGTGATTGGCAATCCGATTCTTGAAACTAAGCTTGATGTTATTTTTTAAACTATGGCTTAAAGATATATGTTATGGGAGACTAGCTCATATGGTGCATGATGATTTACTATAACTATTGACAATTCGATCACGTTAGTTTGAGATGTAAAAATTTAAGCTGCAGCTGGAGAGATTGTCATGGAGGTTTGTTTGAGAATATTTTGAGCATTTAAAGTTTCTGTGTAGCTAAATCCTCTATATATAATGCATAGCAATGAGCATATATATGCCTAGACTAAGGAACAATTCCTATTAAGCGTGTATAAAAATTTTACTAGTAGAAAAGCAGCCTTTTCAAATAAAACGTATATGTCTAAAACTTTGCCTTAAATAAAGCTTTGTGTCTTTTAAAGTAATTATTCTATGATTGTGTGTAACAAAATTTAATATTATGTGTATTTTTTAAATTTTTACTCTTTCACTTCATACATAATATAGGGGTTGACTCCCTAAAGACAACGATTGTATAGTGTACAAAGCATTGAGTATCTACATGTTACAGTCATCTAATGTTCAACTATTCTTGGCTAGTAATTTCTGTTTCACCCTGTACTTAAGCTTCTTAAATGAACACCAAATATGTGTAAGAAAACGAACTTCAAGGGGTAATGATAATATTGTTTTCACTAGAATAATGATTTTTTTAGCATATGAAAAATATAAATATAACTTAAATAGTACCCTATGCAATGTGCACTGATCCGTTTAGTAATATCGCCCATGTTTGATTGTAATACTCATGACCATTTTTGTTGTAGGCTGGCGGAACAATAATAAAAAAGAACAAATGAGCAATCTCTTTTATGAACCAGTACCATGGTTTCTGACAAGGTAGGGATGAATACACAAAACATATAAAAATCACTACTCAAGTAGCCAGTAAGTACTGAGTCAGTCTTCCAAGCTTGTGGTTACTAGCCAATATAAGACTGTATAGCACTATTCAGTTTAAATGGTTTTATTCAAATCTGAATTCATGCAACTGACAGAAATTCAACATTTACTTGTATATAAAAGTTATTCTTGGAAAGAGTTGGCTACTTATATAGTGATTTTTGTGTGGTTTTGTGTATTATACCTACCTTGTTTTTGTACATCATATTTAATTTTTGAAAAGTTTTTATTACTTGTTTTATACTTATTAATGGGCTCACTTGTAATTTTTGTGTGGTTTTGTGTATTATACCTACCTTGTTTTTGTACATCATACTTAATTTTTGAAAAGTTTTTATTACTTGTTTTATACTTATTAATGGGCTCACTTGTAATCTACAGGTTTCCGAGGTAATGTGAAACCAAACTTGTTGACCCAAGAGACTCAGAGCATGGCTTGTTCACTTCGAATTTTATTCCGTATGTACCTGGATGATTCTCGACAGGATGCTTGGCCACAGGTTCAGAACAGACTTATTGGGTAGGTCCTTATGTTTTTATCATATGGTCATTATGTAGTTGCTCTAGCCATCTTTTCTAACTCTTCGTACTATTAAAATGTAAAAATCATTCTTATTTTCTGTCTTTTCAATGTAGTAGAGTATATAATTAAAGTGTGAACTATAAGATCTAAATTTAAGTAGAGAGTCATGAATTGCAAGTGATGTGTGTATCTAGTTAAGACCTAAGCTTAAATGCATTGTATGTTTAACCCCCATCTTGTAGTAGGTTTACTTTAATCATTGAAACACTTCTAGAAAGTGTCTGTTAATGAAATGTTTGGAAGTTAGAAAATATATTCATAGTATTATTGTTGATAGTTGCACAAGTTTTGTTGGAATCATTCTGACTTTTACCTTCAGAATACACCAGGTCAGTTGGGTTTTGGAAAAGTTTTCCAGAGTTGCTGAACCCAAATATGGAATCATGTTTTGTTCCTTGCTCCACTTGGGATCCTGGGGTACCAAGTTTGAAACTGTATTCATACTCTTCCTCCACTTACAAGTTAATGGACCAAACATGTCACACGTACTCAGGCAACATGGGTGATGTCCTAGTGATTTTTTTGGGAGGGGGGTACAGACTGCCATGAGTTAGCTACAGAAGCAGTTGGGGATAATGAAGAAGCTTGATCTGTATATTGGGGCCTTTAAACTCTACAGTGGAAAACACATATTTTATTCTAGTACCTATAAAGCAAACTAAAGAAGCAATCAACAAAAAAGAAATATCACCCACAACAATTACAAGTGATGTTATGATATGGAACTCTTGTCAAGTCTGAATATAGTGTAAACTGGTCATGTAGAATAAGAGAAAAACATGCATTTTGTTTCCTATACTCTGCAGATTTCAGCATTGCTCAAGGCAGGAAAGTCCTGTACTCTGCAGATTTCAGCATTGCTCAAGGCAGGAAAGTCCTGTACTCTGCAGATTTCAGCATTTCTCAAGGCAGGAAAGTCCTGTACTCTGCAGATTTCAGCATTGCTCAAGGCAGGAAAGTGACTGTAGAAACTAAATCATTCGTATTTTGTTGCTCAGAAACTGATTATTTTCAGGCTGGCATTCTTATTTTACACCAGTTAGGAAATCTTGTCTACCATTCTTTTATTTTGTAGATAATGGGTGAGAATTGAACACAAGTTACACATGAAACATTACCAGTACAGTGTAGATTGTATAAACACACTGAGTTTTATACGAGTTGTCAACTAAACAGTATTACATTTAACAAGGTCAACAACATAAGTGATATGTGTTCCTAAGAATGAAAGTACAAAAATACTGATGATTGTTGTATTTACTTTAACATGGCTACTGATTTGTAGGAAGTACATTCAGGTGTTTTTCCTCCTGGGTTTGTATATATGAAAATAATGGAAATACATATTCTGTGTTATTATAGATCATAACTTAGAAAAAGCTATTTTAAAAATTTATGGTCAGTAGGCAAGTGTTAAAGTCAGCTTTTGCAAAGTAGCTTAATCATGTTGTTTATATGTTTTCACAGTTTAATATAAGTGTGACAAGTCAAATCTCTTTTCCAAGTATAGTTTTTTAGTATAAAGACAAATATGTAAGTAGATCTAATTTAAAGTTATAAAACATAGACTGAAACATTTTATGTTAATTAAATGCATATTCCCTTGTAGAGAATCAGCTTTTTGTTGATCTCAAAGTGGCATCTGCAACACTATTTTTTATTAATCCTAAAACATATTTAACACAAGTTTTGTGTTGATCCTGAATGATGTACATACTGCTAATAAATATTTTACACACTAATCAGTCATTTCTAATCTCAAAGCAACAGTTGTAATGCTAATTACTTTATTGCTATGGTTTGAATGCTTTTTACAACATAATTACTTTGTTTATCTTAAATAACACCTTTAACACCAAGTAGATTTATTTTTATGAGAAAGTGGCATAACACTAATTACTTTTTCATTGCTTTTATGTTGTGTACTAGAATATGTCGAGAAGCCTTGGACTATTACTTGAGTCTGAGTACTGAGAATCACAGAGAATCCTGGACAAGTTTACTTCTTCTCTTTCTCACCAGGATTCATAAAATGGATGATGAAAGAGTAAGTACCTTTAGGAGGCAATAAATGTTTTTATTTGTCACTGTTGGTTTCTTACTGTTGTATAATTTCTAAAAGTAAGAAAGTATTATGATGTACTTGGCTCTTTAGATTATAGTTCCATCACTGTATCAGGTACAAAGGATCAGCTGTATGGTAGGTATAACTGAGATGTACATTTGTGTGAAAATGAGTTACATTATACTAAATTAAAAGTTTACAGAACGTGTATTGTACATTTGATAATATATATTAATTTCGTTTTTGTTATAAACTCTAAGCAAGAAAGGGAGCTTTGTTTGAACTAAAATATATTTGTTTTCTTGTCTGCTTTTATACAAAATGTAAATAAAGAAACTGTTAGTTAAAATATTTTTATCCTTTCTTAGTTTCGTGCCCATGCTGCAGTTTATTACCCTTGTCTGTGTGAGATGATTTGTCTTGAAATCAAGCCTGAGCTCCGAGCAGTGTTGAGGCGTTTTTTTCTCAGGATTGGCCCAGCCTTCAACATAACTCCAGTTATCAGCAAATGACATGACTCGGTAATTGGTGTTTTATGTAAATACTGATCTGCTGACTAACTCTAGTCAAGTTCTGAGGTGTGTACAGCCCATATCAACATGATTAACAACTTAATGAAATGTTTATATAGATAGCTTCTTGTGAGCACATTGTTTGTAGTTCTTTCTCTACTTTTTCTGCCAATACTGGTGCCCAAGCAGAAGAGGTTTTGGTTAGTTATGATTAGTAAGTATTTTGTAGACTACATCTGTGATTTGTTTTAATGATGCTATGCTAATGTAACAATAAAATTACTGCGTAGAAACATACCTTCTGAGGATCAAAGAATGTGAAACAATAGTTGAAAAAAAAGTGTTCTCCAAAATATTTTTTTAATATTTTTATTTCAATTTTCGTTTTTTTCCTTGAGGTGTTATTTTTGGTCTCCTGTGGAGAACTTGAAGATTTTAATATTTCAGAATTTGATCGTCCATGTTAAATCATATAGAATATATCTTAGCAGTTAATTAGGTAACTGTGTGTGTGTGAACAGGATAATTTGCACTTAGAACTAAGTAGACAAGATTGAAAATAAAGAGTTTAAATGCAATCATTAAATCTTGTTTAATTTTCTCAAATTGTTAACTTATGAAATTGTTAAAACATTGACAATTGTTTAAAATCAAAAGTTGTGGAATAATTTTATTCTTGGTATAAAACAAAGCTTTTTTATTCTTCAAACAGTGATTTAATGTGTATTTTCTCTTATAAACTATGCAACTCACAGCTGTCAGAATATTTAAAGTTTTAAATGGGAATTAGAGGTATCAAAAATTATATGAAGTTTTTGTGCACCTTTTCTATATGTAATACTAATACATATAAATACTTGGTGTTTCAATCTCATTCTTTTAACAATATTATTGTGTACAACAACTGTTCCAGTCTTAAATTTATAGTTGAAGTGACCACAGTTATATTGTTGCATTTTTCTAAATGTGTCTTTAATATTTTTTTTTTACTATATTATAATCTTGATAATAGACCAAGAACACAACAAGAATATTTTATTAGAACCAGGTTAATTGATTGTTATAAATATACAGGTTTGAAAGCAGATATGAATATGATAGGATATACAATTATGGATCAAGTAGCAGACTTAATTCCACAGTTAAAGATAGATAACAGACTTTTAATTACATAGTTACAGTTCAAGTATCAGAGAAGATATCTCGTTGATTGAATCTTTTATATATCAACACACAGTTGCTTCAGTCACTGTATAGATAGTAGATATTTGACTACGTAGTTAATAGTTTAAATAGTAGACCAGAGTACTATTGACTGTACAATTCAAATAGCAGTAAAACTAAAAATGCTGTTTCCAGTGAGAGCAAATTTTATTTTTTACTTTTGCATGAAAACAGCAGTACATAGTTTACTACAAAATGTAAACCTAATAGAGTGAATTTAAACTTGTACCTATAAGCATATTAGGCCTAACCTAGTTTAGATAATAAAGAAAGGATGTGTTTTTGTTCAAAATGGGCATAGCTAAACCACTGGGTACAACTCAGGCTTATTAAATAGCATTTGTTAAAAACTGTGTACTATACTCTAAACAATCCCCATTCATCATAGGTATGAGTCAGTCTGCTTTATTTCCTCCCAAAAGATTGAAATTGCATTAAGTTCAACTATCAATCACAATTGTATAATATTGTGATCCAACAACAAATCAATTTATTTTGTGTTCAATTTTTCTTTAAGTTTTGAGGACAGATTTAATTATTTTTAACATCATTTTCAAAGTGAAGATAGATTATATGTCATTTAAAAACAGTGTGCTTTTTTCTAGTTGTGTTGCCTCAGTGGGTCAGCTATAAGTTTATGAACTTAGCAATGCTTATATCTGATTCTTCATGGTGGACAGAATGCAGATAACCCTTTGTGTAGTTTTGTGCTAAAAAACTTAAAATCCAACTTACAATAGTGTGAGTTAATCTAAGTTTTGAAAGCATTTCTTTGATCACTATATATATATATTTAACATAACATAATGTTTAGGGACAACAAAGGACCTATTGGACCATCTCGGCTGTCCCATTCTCTAAACTAACTGTGTATTCCTCAGGTCACTGAAGTAGTTATGGATATCAGTGTCAGTAAGGTAAAGTTGTATGGGAATAATTTTGATCTACATACTGTTTCGAAATACACTATTTAGTGAAAACTAAATTTTAATAAAAAAATAAACTATTATTATTTTTTATTTTTAATGAACAACATAACATTCCCAACTTAAAATAGCTGAACAGATAGAAATTGCTGAGAAATATTCCCAGCTTTTAATGATGCTAGTGTTCAAATAGCAGACATATGATTGCACAATTACAGATTAATTAGCAGACATTGGAGAAAAATGTTACGATTCAAATAAGAAACTTAAATATTGTTCATGGATGTTGTTGGCTGCACGGCAGAAGATCGTGTAACAAATGAGACAATATTTATCTTATTATAAATCCAATGGGACAGTGTTACATCATAAATACAGTAGAATAAAACAGATAATTTTAAACATAAAAGTTATGATATGAATTAGCATCTTGGGAAAGAATAGAGTTGTGATTTTACCTCAGTTGATGTTAACGAAGTGTGTGTTACTTTACTGCCTTCAGCCACTGCTCTTGTCAGATTCTAAAGAAGCTGAGTTGTTATTTTGGGAAGGAAATAAAGGTACAAACATGTAATTACTAAGAAGATAATTCCCAGTTTGTTTGTTTTGTTTTTCCCAACATATGTATTTTTAGGCCATGAAAACAAACAGAATGTTGTTTAATAATATCAACACTTTGCACTTATTATTCATAGAATTGTACATCCAAGCCAGCAAAAGTTTAAGGAATGTTACAGGCACATGTGATACAATTATTAATATAAAAAAAGTAATAAAAGGTATTTTGATAAACAACAGCTTTTTACAATTCTTAAAATTTAATTGTTTCCCTTAACTGTCATTTTTATGACCCTCTCTTCACAATACGTCAACTTTAATATTGAGTATAAGTTGCATAAAAAATTAAAAAGTGTAATAGACTGCGTTGTTCAAGTTTCATTATCTTAACTTAATTAGCATAAACAGTGTGTGCAGTAACACCTGAATGCTTTGAAATAAACTAATGTTAAGACTAATGAGGAATGCAAACATGTCTGCTTTATTTGTATAGAAAATTTTTCCAGTTTTGTACCAGAACTGTAGGACAAATACAGTTGAAACATTAGTGTATATTTTTACTTTTTGACTGTTGGTTATACGAGATATAATTTCAATAAACATTTTACTTGTAGAAAAAAAAAAACTTTTCTAATAACTTTAGGTTCAGAAATAAGTACTTAATATATATTAATGTTGATGAATGGGAAATATCGAGAAAAATTTAAATTATTTGAAAAATATTTATTACTTTGCTTGTGAACCTATTGATATTGAAAAAAAGGAAATTAGATGAAACATTTGAGAAGTCAAGGCCCTAATATATTGTGAAACTTAAGATGAAATTTTTATGAAAAGAAAAAATAGGTAAAACTGAAATTTACTATTTTATTTCAAATGGTAATTTCTGAATTTTTGGTTGTTACCCCATGAGGGGGTTGAGTGTCATCTCCAGGGGATCACAAGATGTAAAGTATTAATATATATATATATGTGTTTTTTTCACAATAAACATAAACACTTAATTCCCATTGACAATAAGTTACATTAAAATGTTATTTATATTTTACTATTTGGTGTAATAAACATGATACAAGAGGGGGTGTGGTTGTGAGTATGAAGGAAGTTGTGATAAGCAGTAGCTTGAGAAATTCTAGTTTGGAGTATAGTTTTATTTTGCTACACTTTATATATAGTTTAAGAAAAAATTATCTTATTTGCATTAAAAGTGTCTTTATTGAAATCATTTAGAAAGAACTGTTTGCTTTCATAAAAAAAATAAAGTAATAGTTTTAAAATGAAAACTTGTATGCTAGTTTCTAATGTTGTTGAATTTTTAAACATTTGAAAAACCAATGTAAGCATTTTTTGGAGGATTATGCAGATTACTGTAAAAATAAAGTTTGGATAATTATAAAAACACAAGAGAGATTATCAGTTACATGAATATGTGCCAGAGCTTTGACATCATGATGTGTTTGTTACGTCAACTTGGATATGTTCGTGTTTTTCTACGCTTATTTTTCCCTTACAGATTACAAGCTAACACCTTTGGGCAGAGCCAGTTTTTTTACATTAAGGATAGGGGCTTATATGTGTATAAAAACTTGATCTAGTATTGTTTTTATATGTTGCATAATTCTTCCAAGTATGTAACATACCAGATATTACAACAACACCTTTCCTCGTGTATTAAACCAAGGTTGCAGAATTTTACATTTCTAAACTGCATTTAGGTGAACTCTTGTAAGCAACCATGTGATGTTTTTAGTGGTAGCTGGTCACCCCTGAAACAAAATGTTATCAAGATTAGAATTACTTTTTATGGTTGGCTACTTTTGTTCAAGTACAGACAGACCTTCTATTGTGAAATCCATAAGAAAATTGGACATGAATATTCTACTCTAATTGCTTTGACAGTTGTTGATATACTTTGTGGAAAATGTTCGATGAAATTATTTTTGTTTTGTCAGATATATCTGTCAAAATAAAAGTAAACAATAAACAAGAAATGTTTTATTCATTTGTTTATTAAATAAATAAATGTTCCATTAAAGCCAAAATATACAAGATTAAAAAACATAAATGGAAATATAGGTTTATATGATGTAGATTTTTTTTTCTAAAGTTTCAATTGCATGAAGGCTCATGGGCAGTTTATAGTGAATGAGTTACATTCTTTGTATTAGTGGTCAAGATATCTAGACTACAGGAAAAAAAGGAATTGTTATTTTTAAAATTTATATTTCCTAAAGTCATGTTATTCCTTCATTAAAATTGATTCTATGAAGAAATTAATTTTGACTGTAGGATTCAATATGATGGAACTGTATTGTTTTTATAATGAAGTGTTTCTCATTAAAATGATACTCCAGATTAATTAATACTGTTTTAATGCTCTTCCTTGCTTATGGTTCATAAGTGTGACCTTTACATAATTATGTGTAGAGGTGTTGATAGTTTGTTTAATATATATTTTGACAGTCCTTTTTGCTTTAGATTATGACATTGTTGCATATGTTTATCATTTTGGTGTGACAATTCATCAGTAACTATTGATCATAAAACAAAGTGCTGATATGATTGTCAGATTTATGTACAGTGTTTAACACACTGGACATGTTAAGTTGTGTTTATCATATGTTTATCATTTTGGTGTGACAATTCATCAGTAACTATTGAACATAAAACAAAGTGCTGACATGATTGTCAGATTTATGTACAGTGTTTAACACACTGGGCATGTTAAGTTGTGTTTCATAAAGTATGAAATAAAGCTAAGCTGAAAAATATTACTATGCTTAGGAATATTCTAATATTCTTTGAAAGAAGTTTTTAGGTGGAGGGATGTAATTCAGTTGAGAGGTTTTAACAAGCTTCTTTATTCTGTTTTGAAGATGATACTTCAGTCTGCTAAAAACTGGTTTTTGTCATGTTGGTTTAAGCAAGTTTAAACCTGTTTAAATTTACTGTATTAATGTGAATCTGATGACGATCTACAGTAGCAGATTGAAATGCCTAAAGAAGCTTCAAACAGGTAGTTAAGTCTGTTAAAACCTTTCAGATGAATAATTCAGTGTTTTTGCTTTAGTTGATTAACTATTCTGGAAGGACATAATAATTAATAACGTATGGAAAAATGTGCCAATATTCTTTCATTAGCACTAATTTTATTATCAGTATAAAAAAGGAGTGCTTTTAAAAATCTGTACATTTTAGTATGGTGTATGTTTGTCATTTGTTTCTTATTTGGCTCTATTTCCTAATGAAATTTAACCTTTTAAAACATTGCAGTTTTTAGGGAAGAAGGTATAACTTTTGGTAATTAAATTATAAAAGCACATAAAATTTATTATTTCATTAATACTGGAGTTGCTAGGATGTTAAAGAAATATTGTTTATAAGTAGTTATTGAATAACACTAAAAATAGTCACTTTTGAACATTCCATAGTGACATTGGCAATTGATTTTTGCCTAATTTTCTTAACTTATTGAGTGATGAAGTTGGTTGAGTTGCATTGAAAATAACACATTTAACTTATCTAATAAAATGCAGTGAATTAGCAGTTTTTGCATACTTTCAGTGTAGTATTTCTTGTCTTTCATAAAATATTAAAAATATTCAGAAACTACATCTGTCCATTAACCAAGCACAGCTTGTTTAGGCAAACTGACAAAATTCTTTTGCATATACGAATTATTTGTATCTAGAATACAAGAGAGATGCATCTTTGAGCAATGTTATGTGTATTTATGTTATTAGACAAGTTACTTTTCAAGTTATCCATATAATAAACATGAACCAATGAAACTTCACTGCTGTTGGTTTCATATATTTATTTATAACATGACAGACTGGCACTAAATTAAACTTGGATTTTTAACATCAGTTGAAGATGAAACTATAAAATGAAATTTTGTTCCTGCACTTTTTTTTTTGTTCATTTATTCCTGTAAAGCTTCACAGACATTTAGGACTTGTTTTTAAAGCTTCTGAGGAATGTGTTCAGACAACAACAAAAAAAAAGTGAGTGTGAAAACAGGATATTTCTCGCTGCCAATTCCACAACCGGGATGGTTCTTAACAGCATTCATCTCTGTCATTTACCAACTAAAACTGTTTTTAATGGGTTATCTTTTTTTCACTCATCAAACAATTTTCAACAGAATATCTCTCTTTCACTCCCCAAGATAGTTTTCAACAGGATGCCTGTGTCATACACCCACAAAACAATATTCAACAGGATCTCTCTCATTCATGCACCAAGACAGTTTTCCTTAAAGCAAAGTTCTTCTGCCTATCTCATCTCCAAAATAAAACACCTGCATTCAGTTAACTAAATTATAAATCCAATGAAAAATTGTGATAATAATAATAGAATATTTTTTTACTGTTTTGTATTTTTTTGTAGAATTTTACATATACTTGCTTTTTAAGAGATGATGCACTTGTATTGATACTGATGTTGGGCTAGTAAGTTTTATTGTATTTTTTTTTAAACTGATCTTGAATTTAATTCTGAGTGAGTAGAATTTGTTAAACAATTAAGATCTAAAAGAAAACATTTTCTCCATGAAAGAAATAGGCAAATTTTTATATTTTTTGCAAGCTTTCAACTTTACTGCCAGAATTTTCAGTAAGCACAGTACTAATAATAAAGTATAGGTTCAGTAGGTGTTGAAGGTGAGATTTCAGATATGTGTTTAAAAGTAATATTTATATTTAACTTAAATAAATACTTTGTTTTAGAGGATTTATTGTTATGAAACAAATAGACCTTTTCTACTCTTAGTCATTTTTATAATGTCAAATTCATGGGAGTTTTTGAAACTGAAAAATGTTTTGGAACAAGCATTTAAAACTTGTAAACAATTCAACATCACGGAAAACCCGATTTCTATCTGAAATTTATGATTTTTCAAAAGTTTTTATTTAATATTGAAATTTAATCTTCCTTAATTGTCCTTTACACAAGTTAAACGACCTTAGCATTTGTAAGACGATTTTCTTTATTGTAGAGAAACGACTCACTGTTTAGCTTTGTTTATTAAGATTATTGTGTAGCAAATCATGTTAATTACATTCATACAGCTTATTGATACGGAGAATGTCACTTTTGCTCAAACCAGGCTTATTGTAGGGCTCTTTCAAGAAAGTTCCGTCTTTTGCAGTCATGACACGTGAACGTCCGTCTTTGGAGAACGATGTCTCCCCATATAACATTATGGAGTCATAGTCAAACGTATCAAGCAGGCGGTTTTCAAATACACTCATCTTTTTAAACCAGATTTCCATCCCTAGGAAGCATGATATATGAGTACTTCATTCTTTGTAAAGACATTATAAAAACGCAATCTGTTTTCAGTAAAAGAACTTACTACTGTGTTCAGAGACTTGCGTAATTTTACTTTAAATATGTTCTGTAGAGTTCAGGAAAGCAACAACAATATAAGTTACTCGGTAGTCTTTATAGGAAGTATTAACACTAATAATGAATAATTATTCAGTTATTTTTATTGTATGGCAACAATACAATCAATTACTTAGTAGGTTTTAATGTAAAGCAACAATATTATAAATTAATTATTGGTTTCTGATTACCGGAAAGTAATAATTCAGTTACCACTTGCTAAACAACTAAATAAACCTACCATTCATGATGTTTTCCCAGTGAATATTAAGATAATCGTCCCTGTCAGACCGAGTATGTTCATGCCAAAATCCGACCGCATGTCCCAATTCGTGTACGACAGTTCCAAGATATTCACATCCGTAGCCTAGAGACAAATTCTGCGCTCCTCTATGGATGTTTCCAACGAAGGAATTGCAACTAAAACATAAAGAAGGAGAAGGACTTTCCTGGTTGAAATTTAGGTTTGGTTGTACATATATTTCATTATGTGAGAATTAAAATCAGTATAACAAAAAAACAGAAATAATATTTTATGATATCTATAATGCCAAGCATTTTGGCAATTCTAAGAACTTATAATTAAAAGTAAAATATTGTATATATCAACCATACTATGCTATTTATCTCTAAAGTCGACGACGTTTTTCGCCAAATACCAGGGTTCCTCATCCCGAAAGTATAAACTCTAAAACTATAGGTAAATCTGTTCCATGTAATAATCAATACCGGTATAATGAACTCTCTCAAAAATGTATGATACAAAGTTTTACCCTTGTCCTTTGAACATTCTGACATAGTTGGTCTCCGTAGTCCTCTTCTTGAATCTGATGCAGGTGTATTTGTGATACTGGTTCATTGCCTGCTGTATCATTTGTGTCAAACCAGCTGTACACCATAAAAAAATGTTTTACTTTGAGGTTTTCTATGGTATATTTTTTATAAAGAGAATCAAATTTAGTGAAAAATAAAGAAATTAATAAAGTGAATATATTACATTATCGTAATCTAGGTGTCAGTGTAATATAATGTTTTACTTCTGGAGTATTGATCTAGGTGGCAGTGTAATATAATGTTATCGTAATCTAGGTGCCAGTGTAATATAATGTTATCGTAATCTAGGTGCCAGTATAATATAATGTTATCGTAATCTAGGTGCCAGTGTAATATAATGTTTTACTTCTGGAGTATTGATTTCAGTGTTACCACAGATGATATTAAATATGTATATGACAGAAATATGTATATACGAATATCAATAAAAAACAGTATACATAACTTATATGCACTTACAAAGAGAACTGTCAATCACGTAAGGAATCGCGCCCTCTGTCCAGCGTTGACTGTCATTAGGAATGGCGTTTCTGTCCTATGCATTCAATAAAAATATAAGATCTTTTCACATGTGTTATGTATAACGCTATTATGAAAACCACATAAAAGAATCATAAAACGTATGAATGTATGTATATTCTTGTGTCGGCAAGTGACCGCGCTTGTGGCAGGTGTTTGGTGTTGCACCATGTTTATTATGAGAGCACCCACTTCGTCCCTGAATGATTCAACTGGATTTTCTTCTCAAATCAGGTAAACGGTTTTGTTTTTACCGTGAGGGGATGTCCAAAACCTTCAAATTGATCGACTTGCATTTTTAAACCGTTCAGTACCAGTGGGTCTACATTAAACCGTTTACTACCAGTGGGTCTACACATCGAATCTTATTGAGTAATGTTATGCGTTGCATGTTAAACTTTCAGTGTTAAGAACTGATCAAACAATTGGGTGAACTCATTCAATTTCTATTTAAAATGCGCAGGACGCCCCAGCAATAATTAGTGTGTGTGTGTGTGTGACTCGTATCTTAATAGGAACAAACCAACAAAGTCACGGACTCGCAAGCAATTTGGTGCATAGATGATTTGGAAAATGTTTAAAATATCGATGCGGTTCATATGGTAATCATCGTAATAAAAAGAGCGTGTGCATAATTTCAGCCATTTTTACTGCGAAATGTAATGTTTTATTTTACACACTACAGTGTAGTATCGACCATTAGGTTTGTAGTGATTTCAGTGCGTTTCTATTTTAACACGAGATTTAACCTTCATGTCTCTTCTAAGGGATGCTGTTGATTTATAGCTCAAAGTTTCACAATGAGCTATATGCTCTCTCCCACCGCAGGTTACTATCTGTTTGTTCTTGAATTTCGCGCAAAGCTACACGAGGGCTATCTGCGCTAGCCGCCTCGAATTTAGCAGTGTGAGACTA